GGAATAGCATTGTGTGAGTTTGTAAGCATCATATGTTGAGTCAAGAGTTCTCTAACACCAATTATCTCATCTCAAGTCCCATCTTTCCTCTGTTTTTAGATTGAATTCGGATTTGCCCTGTTTTGCCTTTGTTTTAGTTGTTTTGCTTGCTTTTCACTCTTTGTTTGATGTTCTCTTCATTTATGTTTGATCCTTTAGGTTGTTAGACATCTAAACTATCTTTGTTTGCTTGAATTAGGAGCTCTATTGCATTCTTACTTCTTCATTCTCCCTTTTTGGATTGATAAAATCCTATGCTATACTACAACTGATTAGTACAAGCTTGGGTGATTAAATCAAGTTCTAAAAAGTCTTGTATCATCTACCCACCCGAGTTCTTGTTTTCAGTAAGGCGTGAATTGATTTGAGCATTGGAGAATCTTTGGGAGAGAACCCCTCTTCTAATTCTCCTCGAGATCCAACTTACTTGTTTGCTAGTATACATATGACTCAATTAAACTTTCGCCATAAAACTATATACAACTCATCCAAAAAAATGAAATTTTCATATCTCATAAAGTATTTTGTAATTTACTCTCAAACAAATTTTTATATAATTAATTTAAAAATAAAAAAAATATATTAATAATTTTGATGATTCAGTAAACATGTTTTTTTAAATCAGTAGATCTACCATAGCCATAACCATGTCATCATTATCAGATAATTGATTGATGAAATTAAGATCAATATATATGTTTTGAATTTAGGCATAAAAATTTTAAAAATATAAAATATAATTAGATTTTTTTGCATAAGTAATAAGTGTAAGTTCCGATTTAGACCATCCAGTATTAAAATAAAAAAAATAGCTGTTTACTTGATAAACTCGATCGCCTAGTTATTTAAACCGTCAGGCCACGTTAAAGCTTCAGTAAAATTTACCAGATATGAAATATAAAATCATATTTTGTTAAAGTTATAAAAAAATAATCTCTGATTAATCCCCGATTAATCTTCAATTTATTAATTCCGTGACAGATCCCCTCCGGCCGCTCTCGCCTAACAAATATTTGAATAAGGGTTATAACTTATGGATAATTAACAGATTAACATGAGACATTGGATTTTGGTGGAAAACTCGTATATCATAATGTTTTTGTATGTACCTCATTGACCTATTATGCTCATCTCTTTATCATTGCCTTCATTCATTGCTCTTCACTTCCTTCTTCTTTTCTATGTTTATCTTCAATTTTCGATCTTTTGGGTGATTTCTCAACTGGCTGAAAGAAGAAGGGAGAATTCCTCTTCATAATCTAAAAGTTGATTTTTTCTTAATATGTAGACTGCTTATTGAATGTTTGGCAAAACTAACCCAAAGGGATAGTGAAATTACAGTTCAGTCATTTGTGACTAAACAAAAAACGTCTGCCACAGTTACGATTTTATCCTTCGAGAATTCTACGTAAGAAGTCTACAATCGTTGTAGACTTCAAAAAAAGTCTACTACATAATTAGTTTTTTAAAAATTAATTAGAAAATATAAAATAAATAAATTTCTAAAAAATTGGTAAACATAAGTAAGACATATATATTTGACATGTATAGAATAGAAAATTTCATACAAATGAATCAACTTAAATGCAGAAAGAAAATTAACTAAAAAACATACAACCCCTTAGAAGTCTACTAAAGAAGTCTACTACAAAAAACATATGTATGCAGTAGACTTCTCGGGTAGACTTCTCCAGTAGACTTAAAAAGAACATAGCGGGAAGTCAAAATTATTTAACAAATTGGCGGGAATCGGAACAAATTAGGCGGGAATTGAAATCGAAAAAATATACCGGAATAAAATTTTCGAGTAGACTTCTCCAGTAGACTTCTTAACCGAAAATTTTCCTACATATATAAGGAGATTAACCTAATTGGGTTAAAAATAAAGTTTTTCACTCCCTCTAAAAAATGCCTCTCTCTCCTCTACCTCCTCTCTGGCCATGAATCTCTTCTCCTTCCTCTCTTGCCATCAAACCCATCTCTATCCTCCATCCTCTCTATCTCAATTATGGTGATGGTAAGCAAATCTGAGGTTTTGTGTTTCTTTTGTTGTTTGCTTTGTGTTCATATTGTAAATCTGGGTTTATTATTACATATTTGAGTTTCTTGTTGTAGATCTGAGTTTATTCTTGCAAATATGCACTTCTTATGGTATAAATTTTGTAGAATTTGTTGCAGATCTGATTTTTTTGTTGTTGCAGATCTGATTTTTTTTTTTTTTGTAGATCTGAATTTTTAGTTGTTGCAGATCTGATTTTGTTTATTTTGTTGCAGATCTGAATTTTGTTTATTTTGTTGCAGATCTATAATTTTTTTTTGTTGCATAGCTGATTTCTTTTTTTCCCTTTTGCTGCAGATATGATGTTTGTAAATATAGCATATTTTGTTGAAATATGAATTTTAACATTTTTTTTCTTATTGTGCAGACCTGAGCTTATTTATTTCTCTTTTGTTTTTGTTGGAAGCAGACTTCAGCTGCAGATTTCTCGAGTAGACTTCTCGAGCAGACTTCTCGAGCAGACTTCAGTCACATACATCTATTTCATTCATTTTGTTTTTATATGCTAATTTTAAGATTTATAATTAGTGATCTTTAAATGTTTGTTTGATTAGAAGGTCTACTTTATATGTAAAGTTGGATTGCAATTAATGTTATTTTTATATATTCTTAAATTACGTGTGTTTTATCATATTTAGATTTCATATGCAGACTTCTTTGTCAGACTTAGTCATCACCATCTTTGAACCTCTAATAACACAAATTCAATTTAACTATACAAAACATGTAAAACTCATAACAAAAAAAAACATGTAAAACTACTTAGAAATATTTGCAAACGTAGTCTTTCTTCACACATTCTCAATAAACAGTGGGTATGTGAACCATTCTCTGTAAAAAAACAAAATTCAAACCATATTAAAAATTATTGTCGAAAAAGTAGACTGCAAACGTAGTCTACTATGTAGACTTCAAATGAAGTCTGCGGACTATTAAGCTAAATACCAAATAAAAGAAGAAAATTAGTTAAAGCTAAACTGTAACAAAAAAAAATTTCAAACTCATACATAAACAAGAACAATAAATATCACACACTTAAGAGTCAAATAATAAATTTTATTTGTTACAAATATCTGATCAATTAAATTTATAAACAATTAATTTCGCAGACTGCAAACGAAGTCTACTATGTAGACTTCAAGTGAAGTCTACGGACTAATAAGCTAAATATCAATTAGAACAAGAAAATTAATTAAAGCTAAACTATAACAAATAAACATGTCAAACTCCTACATAAGTAAGAACAATAAATAATACACACTTAAGAGTCAAAGAATAAATTTTATTTGTTACAAATATCTGATCAATTAATTTAATAAAAAAAAAAATATCGCAGACTGCAAACGAAGTCTACGGATTAATAACCTAAATACCAAATAAAACAAGAAACTTGATTTCACCAAATATATATATATATATATATATAATATAAACATGTAAAACTGATACAAATGTAAGTACACTTACTAAATAATCGTAAGACCAAAAAAATCTTAATAACTCGTTGTAAATTTGATAAAAACGCGCTTATAAAAAAAAAGTAAAATAGTAGACTAACAACGAAGTTTACAAAAGTAGACTTGCAATGAAGTTTACAAATGTAGACTTCGTATGAAGTCTATATTTTAGGTTACTTTTGCAATCGCATAGACTTCTTCAAAGAAATCTACGTAAAAAAAGGTTAGTTTTGCAATTGACCAAACTTTGACTTTTTCGTAAGAAGTCTACTTTTAAAGTAGACTTCTTCGAGGTTAGTTTTGCAATTGACCAATGTTAACTTTTCAATGTAGACTTCGTTTGAAGTCTACTTCAAAAGTAGACTTCAAACGAAGTCTACTTGGATTAATTTTGGGGTTGACAAAACATTGAATTTATTTTCGAGTAGACTTTTTTTGAAGTCTACTCAGAAAGTAGACTTCAAACGAAGTCTACTCGGAAAAGTAGACTTCAAGCGAAGTCTACTCGAAAAAGTCAACATTGGTCAATTGCAAAACTAACCTCTAAGAAGTCTAAGTTCAAAGTAGACTTCTCTGAAGAAGTCTACTTTTGCGAGTAGACTTCTTACGAAAAAGTCAAAGGTTGGTCAATTGCAAAACTAACCCCTTTTTACGTAGACTTCTTTTGAAGTTTACACTATTTTTTTTGTTGTCAAAGGAAATGGCGCAGACTTCAACTGAAGTCTACTGTCATAAATTGGTACACCCGGTTAATTGCAAAACTAACTTGTGTGTTGACCAACAGACTTCTTAAGAAGTCTACTTTCGCGGCACATATCTGAAAACTCATGGAAATTGACTGAAAAATCACCTACCAGTGGTATTTAACTTATTCAACCACCAATTTCTTTGATTCCAGCCACCACCAAACAAGTCCAAACGATTTGCCAGACCAAATCACCAAATATGAGAATATATTAAAACATCAAGTTTCAAAAATTTAGATTAGAGAGTTTTTGTGCTAAAAATGGTGAAAAATGGAAGAGTAAAAGGTTAAGAGAAGAGGTAATGAGGTTACAAAGCTAAAAAATAGGTCTTTGAAGCAATAAAAGCTTCAAATTGGTTGAAAATGGTGGTTGAATGAATTGATGGTGATGACATTTTCGTGAATAAGTGAGGAATATGAGGATTATTTGGTAAAATAGATGTCCGAAATAATAATAAAAAAAATAATCTAATAGTATTTTTGTAAATAAATAGAACTGATAAGGATATAAGTGAGATAAAGTGGTTAATTTTAAAAGTGTTAAAATGGGAAGTTAGTTTAGCAATTGCCTTGAATTTATGGGTCATTTTTGCAAGATTCCCAAAGAAGAAATGGAAAGAAAATTGTATATACAGTAATACAGAGCTGCACTCATAGACCTGAAAAAAGCAATGAGAACTAAGGAAACAATAAGAGAAACTTACTGATGTATCAAAGAGTTCCTCAAAACATCGTACTTGATTAACTCACTAAGTCTCTGTAAGAGTCCAGAATCAAGTCAGAAAGAGGAAAAGAACACGAACTCCAAAAGTTTTCTGCAAAGTTACTTATGACAAAGAGCAATGTTTTTATAGATACGTTCTTGACTAAATAAAACTCGATCACCTCAAAATATTCCGCTTCTAAGTATTAATTAGAGGCATCAAAGAAAGATACACAGTCTCTTACCTTTTTCTCAAGCGTTCTGCAAACAGCTTCCATGGCCGTGGCTGGAGGAGGCGCGTTCTTCGCTTCCTCAACACGTTTTTGTTGCGTTTCCTATATATAGAAAGAAGTTAGAATCAAGAGTTTGATTGAGAAAACATATACGTCATTGATATAAAAGCATGAACATTATTGCAAAGTTCAAGGTAGAGTCACCTTTCTTGATTTTGTCACAGCAGCTTTAGAAGCTTCCACAAGCTTTCTTGCATAATCTGGAAGATTAGCATTGCTCGCGTTTAAAGCCATAACTTCCGCTTCCTTATCTGCTTGCTTCTACAAAACAATGTAAAATTCTTATGTAAACTCAGAAGGAATCCAAATGATATATCCTATATCTCAAAATAGTCTTTGTTTTCTAAATTAAATAGATGAAAAACTCCAAAATGATCCAGAATGATAAAATAATGTGAAATAAGTAGTTCATTGAAGAAATATTGTAAAAATGACCATTTTCTTATGATTTTTATAAATATCAGTAGTACCCTTCTAAGTTCTAACTACTCTTAGTTGTAGACTAATGGCAGACTAATGATATCATATAATTGAATATAGACAATTGACAGATTAATGTTAGACCAATTGTAAATTATTGGTAAACTAACAACATATTAAAAACAAATTAGTTGATCCTTCTTATAGATCATTTTAGGAAAGATTATGTTTCATAATAAAACTGTGAAATGGATTCTTCCAAAAATTATCCCAATTAAACTTGGTTGTCTTCAAGAGCTTTTCTTCCTCGAGAAAAACGTCGTCATCAACCTGAGAAACACAGAGTTTTAGTGGATTCTAAGTCTATCATAGATAGAGAAATAGTCTTCAATTGTAACTCAAACCATGTAGAAAAAAGTGCATAAGAGTGGGTACATTAAGATTTATGTTTTGAATTCAATTGCTTCATTTCATGTTCCATATTCAGAGTTAAAACATTCGAATTTAGCATCTAATACAAGACGAGAAAGCGAAATTATTACCAACCTCAGAATCATCGAGGTCAGATAAGTTTCCTGATTTATCAGAAGCTTCAGTATAATGCCAATCATCACCATCTTTTTTATGACACATCACAAAAAGATTCTCAGGAGCTCAAATGATAGCAAACAAATATCACTTTAATTTGATTAGAGTCATTAGACAGCAATTACACTCACCCGGCCATCGTTTTTCTCTTTTGTTCAGAGTCAATAGTCTGGGTCTCTCTCGAACTGCCAAGGAGAAAGATTTGTAGCATAAGATTCCACCAAAACCCAAATTGAACAAGCTTTCTAATTCTTTATATCGGTGCTTTGAACAAGCTTCTTAATCTAAGCATGAAATTATCTAACCGATTGTTACATTGATTCGTCGAGTAGTAAAAATTTGAATCATCTCTGGTTATAAGAATATATATATATATATATGAAGACCTAAACTTACGTTTAGTTGTTCATCGTGGTTTAATCTACCAATTACTCCCTCGTTTTCTTCTCTAGCTGCTTTCTCTTTTCTCTCTTTCTCTGCTCGCTGGAAAGCAGGAGGATCCGACCCACCAACAAGTCCACCAGAAAAATTTATGAACTGCACAAAAACAATTATGAACTTGCAGTTGCGTAAAACAGAAAGCATGGAAAGAGACAAATTAGGGCATACAAAACGGAGACATACATCATTGTAACAGCTCAAACATAATCCATAACGAAAAGGTTTACAATCCTGATGCTTACAAAACACTCTTTCTTTGTCAGAATTCGGTAAAACATCTTTTATGCAATACCCTCTTTCTTTCACTGAGCTCATCAACCTATAGCCACACATGTACAACCATTGAAAAAGAATGAACATTAGTCTACAACTAGAAACTCTTAGCCGCAGATTTGTAACATATCTTGCAAATGAAATAACTTACATTTAAACTTGTAGCCTCGGTATGTTCAAACTCAATCAATCAATTGGTTAGAGTTGCGTCACATATATGCACAATTTTAACCTGGAACAATTACAAAAACACATCTATTACTGTAACAAATAGGCTCAAAACACTATCCAAAACATCTTTGCTCTCATCTGTAAAAAGAGTTTTTTCCAAAGATAATCAATATGACAATTTTCTTACAATATCTGTCTTAGAGCACTTAATACCATGAGAAAGAGCAGCTATGTACAGAGCAGCTATATTTCACTTGGTTTCCGACCGGTGCGAGGCAAAAGATGGCCAACATTAACACAGGCCATAATAAATATAAGTCTCTTAAGACAAGAGGAAACTATCCTGTTAAAAATAAACAATAAGAGGAGTCACACCTGCATCCAATCTCTCTTCATACTAGCTATAATGTCTCTAGCCGTTTTCACCACAGCTTTATCGTGTTTACCTTTCAATAAGCCTGCAAGTGTATGATGGAAACGAGCAAGCTTGGTCAAGTATTTGACATACCTTTTCGAATTCTCCTTGCACATGAACTCTGAACACTAGTCACGTGAACTCTAAACACTCGTCATTTTATCATCACTTTTTTGAAGTTTTTCTCTTTTGCTTCATTGTCATTGTGATTAGGCGAACTTAGCTGTGTTGTTGGCGAGAGACACAGAAAGCTTTGAAAGCCCAAAAATTTACATCTTCTACACCAAACATGTGGTAGAAGTTTTGTAAATTCTCCTACCGCTTAAGCCGACCAACAGTAGATCAAACCGAGTAAGCAACTTTGTAAACTGTATCAGTGATCAGTTGCACAACATAGTTGATATTACCTGAAATTTGCGGGAGAATTGAAAAACTGAAAACGGAAGTTAGAGAAGGACCTGAACAACGACAAGATTGCTGGAGATGATTGTTTGGGCCTTCTGCATCATAATCTTCGTCGCATACTGCAACCAAACCTCATCAGAAAACATTTATCTTTGCATATTTTCAATATAGACAATTATACGGATTATCAATTGTATAAGCGCAAATCGCAAAAAAGTATCACACAATATGAGACAAATGTTGCGGGTAATAGATTATCGACGCACTTTGACTCTAATAAAGTTTACATTTTCTTTTCTTTTATAGCTTTGGACCACTATTGGACCGGGCCTGATAGGCTGTTTTGATATTTGTACTTATACCATTTTAAACTATTCTATATAATCATGATTATTTGATACGTATACAAATACAAATTCATGCCAACTTAGCTTATTGAATTAGGGATGGGTCCGTGTTTGATCGATAATACCACATGTAGTTCGGTGAAGATAGAGGAATTTACAATAGACGCTATCAGGCTGCTTTGTATAATGTGTCGATGACCCCCCATATGGTTTTTCAAAGATCACAGACGATTACCTGCAACATGAAAAACTCAAGTGAAAATCAAGTGTAGTGGTTGAGAAGAAGAGTATATAGATCAATATATGCCATTTTTGGAGTTGAGAGAGTCTCTGTTTGCAATGGATCTACAGATTGCATTGGTAGAGTAATCTACAGTCAGTTTTTATAGTGGGAACTGTTGTTACCATAGGGGAAAAGACGAATCGATTATAATTTCTGTAAATATGTTAAACTTAAAACATCATTAGGTCAGTGTGTGGACTTAAAATGGGCCATTGAAACCAAACATATAAATTATATATCAGATTATCAAAGCGTCTAAATTGTAAACATGTTGACGTGGCTGAAGTAGAACGGTTTAGTTTGTTTTAACTATAACACCATAAATATATAGAATTTTTTTTGGCTGATGTAAACACACCTGTGAGCCCCAAACAATCTATTTTATTAGTTAGGATTTACCATATCACATTTACAGATTATTATTAAAATATATTAACTTCTTTTTTTCTTTTTCACAAATTAGCTTTTACAAATATCTTCTCAAATAATAATATAGATTTTTATAGCCAAACACTATTTTATGCAATAATTATTCTTATAGCTTATCCTCTCAAGTACCATCATTTTGGGAAAAACGGTATCATAGCCCATAACCGCTGTTCTTTAGGGTTAGTGAGCCTACCCATCAGTGTTAGGTGGTTTTCTTCGATGAGGTTTGAGTTGTCAAACTCTAGGACTCTGATGAAAACACCTCGTGTGAAACAGCTATGAAGATGAGAGGGCCTGTTTTGTGACGTGTTGAGGCAGATCTGGTGGTACCTTTTGCATAAAAGGTCTCGAGAAGGCTTTGTATTGACTTATGGCTTTATACCAGAATAGCAGGATAAGGTAAAGATCGAATGAAGAAACACCAAGTTGTTAAACTTACCAGTTTTTTCAGAAAAGGAGAGCTAAAGAATTCGTGGTTTTTCCTCTGATGCAACAAGTTTGGGGATCCTTTGTGTGAAGAAGGGACTTACCGGTGGTCAGGCAGACCCTCTGAACTGAAGGTGGGGATGGAACCACAGTGGCGCTTCTCCCAAAGTAATTTAAAATTTGAAAATTTATTTTTGGGAAAAGAAAAATGATTGGATTTAAAGAGCAGAGTAAACTGGAAGCAAAGAAAATACTACTTCGAGAATAGGGTCTGAAAGCGCTTTCTCACGGTTTTGATGCCATTGTCTTTGGCCCCACTAAAAATTGATATTTGTGTTCTTTCAGCTTGGTAAAAAAAATTTAAAAAATCACAATACTAAAAAATATAGTAAAATTTGAACTTACTATGCTCGAGAGTATTCAAATTCATTCCCTAATGATTTTGATCACGAAATTTAACTGCCAGGCCAATTTATAAACTCATATTTATGTAAAAGTTTTTTAAAAAAAAAATTTTTGATTAATCTCCAATTAATCTTCAATTTATTATATTCTGCGATAGATCTGCTCTGATCGCTCGATTAACACCTAACAAATATTTGAACAAGGGTTTATAACTTATGTACCTTGTTCAAAAAAGCGGGCGTGTTAACAATTCAACGGTCGAGAAAATATGTGGCAGTGGCTCACCCTGGGGAGTTTGAGCTGATCGAAACTATTACGCGGGATACCGAGTTTTCACCGCCAAAACTGGGTTTAACGAAGATCAGCGATAAATAAGAAAATCTGGCAAACCCAAATTTCGTAAAATTCATGCCTATTTCGGCCCAATGATTAAAATCTCATCAACCATAGTTGCCACAAGCAATTTTTTGGTCTCATCACTTTCCCGACAAGATAAATCTTAATTTTGATTAATCAGCCCCAAATTCACCGTAAATTAAGACCAAGCCACAGTGAAACGAGTTCATCTAACATCTGCATTACGTTGTTGAAGCAAATTCAAGGTAATTATCTCTCATATAGTTTATGTGTTGTTATAGTGAAGCTTTTTTTACAATTTCTTTTAAACCGGTGAAGAACTGTTCGACTAGGAATTGGTTTGATGATTTTAACGTGTTAGCTTCATTAAAAAGCTTCTCAGGCTGAGTTTGATTTGTATTGAACCCACATAATTTCTTTGGTGGGTATTTCGTTTTCCAAAACCAATGTTAAAGATGGTAAAGTTAAGATGGAAGTGTGATATCTCGGAATGCACATAACATTATAACACATATTCTAACATTATAACACATATCTATATATTAACACTTACAATTTTATAAAATTAGATAAGTGTTTATATCTTAGAAAATGTTATTATATGATTTTTAATAATATTATTCCAAATTTCATACTTTAAACCACATTTTAAGTAATGTTTCGAAAATCCGTAGAAAATTTCTAATGTATTTAGGAGATAAGAGAGGTTTGGTGAATGAAAAATTCAAAAGTTTTCATTCTAATAATACTTAACATGTTATATTCAAAAATGTATTGATTTTACAAATATATCAGTTTTTATTTGTTTTATAAATTTTATAATTTGAAATTTAGACTTTACCAAAACATATCATTTACTATATACTAATCCATGTTCAAAAACGTAATCTTTGCAACTGTTGAAACGGAGGATGAGCCTTTGGCGGTCAGAAGCTGCCGGTTACAAAATCGCTGGCTATAAAAATATTTAGTATTTTGTTTATTTAAAATTATAAATCAAATATAAATCTATTAGTTTTGGTTTATTTAAAATTATAAATTAAATATAAATCTATTAGTTTTGGGTACAAATCTTGAAGAAAATAAAAGAGAAACTTTATCCTTCATTAAAGGCTGAATTTAAAATGCAAATAAAATTGGGTTCATGGGAATCGATTTGGTTGGCAAGTCTAACATAAACGCACTGACCACTATATCAAGCCATTTGTATGACAATTTACTTATAATATACTATATATAAATCATAAAATTAAAAATAAATATCCTATAATAAATCCTTAATTAATTTTTGTATAATACCTGATTAGTTAATTCGGCGTTGAATTTTATTCGACCGCCCGATGAACATGAACGCCTACCGAGATTTTGAACATGGATACTAACATATATTCTAATACTATAACATATAGTTTAAGTTTTATAATATTAGATAGTTGTTTATATTTTAAAGGATGTTATTATATGAGTTTTCAATAATATTTGTTGGAATTTATTTTACCGGATCGAAAGAGAATTTGACACGTGGACCTAGACTGGACTAGACGCTGACATATGCTACCTTAGCTCGGTCGACTCACTTCCGTGTAATGTTCCGGGGTAGTTAGCAAACTTCTCCAAACACGCTAGAATCATTATCCTCACCTGCTCTCCTGACACACCGCATGGAAGGGACAAGACGAAGAACCCGCGAGTATAAGTAAAGAAGAGGAGAAGGCCGAAGAGGGAGGCAATGGAGGGATCAATGGATGAGGAGAAAAGAATTCCTCTGAAAGAGGTGATATCTGCTCATATCAAGATCGGTCGCTCCAGCCAAGCAGCACGATCACAGGTGAACTGTATGTTCCTCCCGGGTGAATGTCGACCATGTTAAGTCACTCCTAACCCGGAACCCCGCCTTCATACTCGCCTCGCATTCCTTTCATTATGTAGGAACCCCTTTAAAACACCCGAAAGCAGACATAAACCTCGATTCCCGGACGAGGATTCTCACTATGACCCATAGAAAACTCCCATCCCGATAACTTATTCCCGGTAGGATGTTCATAGACTTGAGCGTCAGAGAACCTTCGGGAGGAAACCCCCTTTCGGTCCTCCCGGAGGCTCATCTGACCTTTATTTGAGTGCTCACATGATGGAGCACGATGTTTAACTCATCGCCCCGGGGAACAGAAGCTTTCGCCTCGGAACGACTTGCCGCCTTTCCCCCAGAGGACGAAATTCGGAGGCACAACTCCAACCCCCCCACCCCACGAATTACACACCCTCACGTGGCATCCCAAAATTTACTCCCGAACAGTTGGCGCTAGGACGAGGGGGGGGATCACCGGCGAACATTCCGCGAGGGAAGCAAAGCACTCGAAGTTAGCTGCATAAAATATGCGGGTCAAGTAGGCTACGGTTCTGCTCAACCGTCTCGGAGCTTCGGGACCATTACGCATATTGGCCCCAAAACCGTGACTCTGGA